CAGAGACAACAGCGGACATGCTCACACCACACCACCATTGCGAAGATTTGCAATGAAGGGAAGGTAGCTGCCGATCGACTGGAAGAAGGGCTACCTCATCACACTTCGATAGAAGGGCGACGTAAGTGTTTGAAAGAACTGGCGCGCAATCACGTTTCTGTCCACCAGAAGCAAGCAAAATATGAAGCCGCACCATCCTGGAGAGACTAAAGAATGCTCTGCATTCAAAATTACGACCAGAACTGGCTGGCTGTCTGGCTGGATTCAGTAAGTACAAATCATGTGTGGACCAAATTGTAACGCTTCGCATCATCGTAGAACAGAGCATCGAGTGGCAGTCAACTCAACTCTTCCTCAACTTCATCGACATTGAGAAGGCCTTCGACAGCGTCGACTGAGAAGTAATTTGGCAGGCAACTGCTTCAACACTATGCTTTTGGTGCCACAAACCTTTATCAATCTCATTCAACAACTATATGAAGACGCCACATGCCAACGAAGTGATTCACAATGGGAAGCTCAGTGATGCTTTTGAAGTGAAGTGAAGACAGGGAGGAGTAAAATAAGGCTGTCTACTATTCCACATGATATTGCTGATTGTAGTGGACTGGATCATGCAAGAAACAGTGAGGAGCTGTGAGAAGAGGGGGATACAATTGCTGGACCGGGGAGAAGTACCTAGAATATTTGGATTTCGCCAATGACATATGTCTAATCTCTTATCGCGTAAAGTCGAAGATCTACAGGCGAAAACTAACAAGTTGACAGAAGAGGCGAGGTGAGGCAGCGAAGACGAGACTTCAAGTGAATGTAGAGAAGACGGAGGTGATGATGATACCCAACCAGCAACAACAACGACAAGAACAAGCTCCAATTACTATCAACTGGAGAAGTTTAAAGGAAGTCGCCTCCTACACCTAACTAGGCAGCACTGTTTCAACTACAGATAGTGGCACAGACGAGGACCCCAAATCCAGGATAAGAAAGACAGCAGGACAGGCATTCATTAACCTGGAACCAGTGTGGAAATGTTCTGCACTGCACTCCGTATAAAGCGTGAACAACATCCGGATTTTCAACACGAATGCTAGTCAAGTCAGTGCTCCTGTATGGTTCAGAGACTTGGCGACGCGTTACGAAAGGCATTTCTAACAAACTACAGACATTCATCAACAACTGCCTACACTGGCTCATTACTGAAGCTCAGATGGATTGCCAGAAAAAATAAACAATAAGGTAGTCACTCTGGCTGACAACGAACCAACCAACAACCTATCACTGAATAAATGTGCAGAAGGCAGTGGAGATTGATTGGATTGGGCATACACTGAGAAGGCCGATTGGGGACATCACGTGCCGGGCCAGGTTGTCGAGTGGAACCCAGGTGGGAAGGGACGTGTTGCGTGTCCGAGTTGGTGGTGACATGGAGAAGATCGTGCGAGGAGAAAATAAGAGCCTGTTGGCAGCAGTCGAGCCAGATTCAAAAGATTTCAGAGGACAGAGTGCACTGGATACGTGCCACTGAAGCCACTAGGAACCGAAGGGATAAATAATAACCCTCCCTTATTAAGCAGCTTTATTGACCTTTTCCAACCTTTGACCAACTCATTTAGCTGCTAGCTCATAACCCCTGGAATTGACCTAAATCCGCTCATTAACGTCGCAATTAAGTCGTTGGGCTAAGTGGTCAAGTGGTACAATGGACCGCATTTTGATTTCTGGAACACAGAGACGACATCATCTAATTCATGGTCGTAGATAGGTCTTGCTGACTAGTTTCAATAAGAATGAATTCGAAGTCTAGGCTTCCCCAATTTCAACAACGGATTACAGTGCACTACTGTGTTGTGTGGTTGTACTCACTGATCAAATTCCATATTCCACAGATAAACACTGATTAGTGTCTAACGTAAGAGGGCAGATAAGGAAATTGACTGCTTATCAGTGGTCATTTCATGCAGATGCCTATCTGTCAAACGGTTGGAGGCAGTCACAAGGTGTGCTAAATGCTTATTTCAAGGAATTTCAGAACCAAACGAAAACGTACCACTGGCCAAGTTAGGCTAGCCATCTCGAAGTCCATATTTTAGATTTAGCACCTACCATAAAGACAGAAGAGATTTTTTATCCTGAGGGTTTTTAAATCACCTTGTTAATTAATCGAGTCGATTTACTGATTGAGAGCAGTTTTTTTTTCAAAAAATGGCTATGAACACCATAAGTGTATTTCAGTTCATTTCATCAAGATATAAAAATTTATCGTTTCGAAACACGTTCGGGAAATTTAAACAGCACAACATTTTTATTACCTGATTTTTTTTAATAACATTATGAAGTTAGCAAAAAGGATTATTTTTTTCTGCCCCTATCATAGGTCGTTAGACTGGTGTGTTCGCAAATAGTGAGTGGCTCGGCAATTTTTCAAGAATAACGTGATGTTGCCCAATTTTCATTTTAATGAAGGGTATAAAATACATACATCAAAATAAAATCCAAGTTTTTCATCTTTCAGGAGAATGACTATGTAAAATATCCGAATTTTTCAGTTCACTGGAATTTGTAAAATGTTTTATTTTACACCACGGTGAATGGAAAAGAAGTAGTTTCTTTCACGTGGAAGATCGGATGCTCTTCTCTTTCTAATAGGATTTTCAATGACTGAAATTCTGTCAACGAATAATAAGTGTTGGTGAGTTTTGTAATCTCAGATCCTTGACCTATTATTTCACGTCACACTGATGAAAATACTTAGGGAGGATTGACAAATGAAGTGAAGTAGAAGCCTTTACCCCTTTAAAGTTGAACCTAGAAGATTATATCTTACACTTGCAATAAAAACTAGCCTTCCTCTTTTTATATTCAACCAGAAACCTGATTTCTATTCCCAATCAACCAGTACGCATGTCTGATTCGTGTAAGCTCCACCTTAACTGTCGTCTGATATTCCAGTTTCAGCCCATTTTTACAAGGTTGTGGACAGCGGATAATGACCGTTGAAATGCTTTAGCTAGTAACTAGTCTTGATAAATATATGAACCCTACCTGTTATTGTAGTGGGCATTGTTGATCAAAGTGGATATCAGAAGTATGTGTTGAGAGGGGGCAGAAATCATAGGGAATTACCAGCAAGGGGTAAAGATTCCGTCCAGAGAAGCGCAAGAGACAGTGCGGGCGTGTTAAGAACAAATCAAGATAGAAGCGGAGGAGTAAATGAAGCACGTTATGCAAATGACTGTCATAGTAGAGGGTGTATGATATTTAATGACGACTGTCCTAAATGTCATCGCTCAGGAGCTACGACTAGTGAACGCATCCCAACCCATGGATATTAGTGAGATGATCAAGGTCACTAGACAGCTAATGCGTTCAGCAGTAGCTGTGGTAGAACGACCAGAGGTAAATAGCTGGGAAAACAAATCGATAACCTTCAGGAGGACGTGGCTGCCTTTTGAGTGGATATCAACAGACAGAGACGAAGGGATGAATGTTTATTATTGTCATCTTGTACAGTAGTCAACAAATATTATACACCTCCCACTAAGACAGTCATTCGCATAATGTGCTTCATTTACTCCTCTGCTTCTATCTTGATTTGTTCTTAACACGCCCGCACTGTCTCTTGCGCTTCTCTGGACGGAATCTTTACCCCTTGCTGGTAATTCCCTATGATTTCTGCTCCCCTCTCAACACATACTTCTGATATCCATTTTCATCCGCAACGCACACTACGTTATGACTGGTAACAGGGATTCAATACTTTATCTATGAACGAAGTGTTTCTCAATCCATAAGATATTATATCTAAACTAACTTTACCAACATTATCATTAATTCGTTCCACAAGTTTCAGTATATCAAAAATGAACTGTAACAGCAGAGAATCTTTCGTTTCAAACCAATATATTTCCAACTTATACCTTTCCCCATATCTTAAATACGTGTTTAAATTTGTTCAATTATTCTTATTCATGACTTTCTAGTGAGTTGTAACTGTGAGGAACGTGTGTATTAAGGTTTTTTTGATAATTTCACTGTGATTCTTTTCAAATAACGCATGATACAAACAAAAGCGACGCCGATTTTAAAGCGATCAAGACTTCATTTCTACTATTCCTGAGAGTGTTGGACTGTGTGATCTCACATTCAAATGATGTTACTGCCTTTTAGCGTTGAAAAAAGGCCGACTAACTGGTGATTCATTCAATTACTGCACACTACTATCTAGTCTCGTAATTCTTGATTTCCAACAGAAGTTATTCTCGTTCCACTTTAAAGGTTGGACTATGTGTTCATCCTAAAAAGACGGAAAAGGTTTCAATAAAACGTCTTTGGGTGAATCTAATATAAAGTAATTGTTGCGTGCTATGGCAATTAATAACAAAATGAGCAGATACTTCAATTTATTGCCTTCAATGTTTGATGAAGTTCCAGAAGTTGTGAAACTTCAAAATAATCATTTTGAGTTGCAATATTATTATTATTATTATACTTATTGAAAATGCATTTTTGCGGATGTGATTATTCAACATTTAAGCAAGTTCACCAATCTCGAATACAGAGTATTAGACAGTAGAAAACTATTCTTTTAGGGATATCAAAATTTTAGAATCGGTTATGATTAACTGAGTTGTGGCTAGTAGAAGAATCCAGGACTCATGTTTCGTCTTACTTGGTACGCATTAGCTAGATTTACCTGCACAGTCGTGCATTAACAATATTCAGGTAATACAAATTCATTTAAATTGGAGCCTATATGCCAATAGAGGTCGTACAATTCAATCCGGTAAAATAACGGAGGATTTACAAGCATATCAACAAATATCAATCAGTTATATATAGTTATTGAATTTTGTTAGTAACTTGTGTCTGGAACAAATAAGTTAGTCGAATAACGTCACTGAAAGACATTTTAGCTTTTTACTTCACTTTTTTGTCACACTTCTATTTCCATACTTTAAACATAATTTACCATGTCTGCTATTTTTTATATTTTGCTCTAGAAAAATCTCGCATCTATTCTCCAGTAGAATACTGTCTTACAGAATTTGATTCAGTTTCATGTTGGCCACCTACAAAAGGTGGAACAGTTGCTAAACTATCCTGTCCTTCACATGTGCCAGGAGTAAAAGTTACCGGTTTCGCTTATCGTGCATGTAATTTAACTAATAAACTTGAAGATACCAATGGACAGTACATGAATGTTTGGAAATTTGACCGATCAAACTATAGTGATTGTGTACATAAAGAGGATATCATGGCTGTAAGTGCAGCATTTCTGGTCACTATTTTCATGAAATTACTTTCATAATGCGATTTATCTGATAAATAACCTTCCAGGCGACTGGAATAATATTTTACCTCATAGATGGCATGTTATGGCTTTATATACTGAAAGGAAGTCTGCATTTAAATGGCTGGAGGGTGTTTTATTGTTTGAATAAAATCTGAATATAACATACGTAACTGAAGCTGACCCTGACCTTAAAATCCTAATTCAAAATCGCAAAGAGCACTCTCCTGCAAGACCTTCACAGTACCGACCAGCAGAAATTAATCTATCCATGAATTAATAACTACTGAAGTTGAGTAATATTCTTTTAGCATTATTGATGGATAGCAGCTAGCGAAAGAATCCAGAACGAGTGTTTCATCCTATTTGGGACTCGTCAGCTGGATGTACATGCATTCCTGTGAGTGATGTTTTTACCATCGGGATCCGGACTCAGCGGCAGTCGCTTCAAACTCCAAAGAGTTATCCATCACACCAGTGAGCCACGAATCTCAGTGGGAACAACATCACTCACCGAAGTGCAGGCACAACTGGCTGACGAGTTCTAAATAGGACAAGATACGCATCCTGGATTCCACTGCTAGCCACTATCCATCATTAATATACACGACTGAAACAAAGGCAATATCGAGACATCCGGACAAGAGCCCATGTGCCAATAGAGACCGATCAATTCGGTCCAATCAACAACGGTATAATACTAGTAATAACATCAATCTTTGAGCATGTTAAAAATATGTAGTCCAGATCAACACAACAACTGAATTCTCCAGAAACATATCTGTAATCATTACTGTTCGTGTTAAATTTCTGCAATCTATACCATCAGAAAGAAAATGCTGGTTGTCAGTAAACGACGTAATAGTCAGTAACTCTATGATCTCCGACATATTCTACTGATTTTATTGCTGTTTTATGATTGTTTTATAAACTTTTAAAGTTGGTGCATTATATTGTCTTCAAAAATAATTCATACACGTTTTTATTTAAAAGTTAGAATTAAATGTTCATAGGAATCGATGCTCAAATCGAAGACCTATCTATGAATGATGAACGTTATTCACATATGGAATTACCCTAGTTTCTTCTAGTTCAGAAACGTGTTGGTGTCTTAATTTGGTTAATAATAGCGTTATTTGAAGTAAAAAATTCTTGTGAAAGACATGTATTAGCAACTGTGACTGACATCCAAAAATTGGGGCTCTGACTTGTTTGTCTAGGGTATAGGCCACTGTTTCTTGATTTATGTAGACGTTTTATGCAACACTAAAGATGGATGGTAGCTGGAAGTGGAATCCAGGATGCTCATTTAGTCCTGTTTGGAACTCACCAGCTAGATGTACCTGCAACAGCTTATTTCCAGCTGAATTATTCTTATTCACCTGTGATTAATTGATCACATCCGTTTGTTAAGTCGACTAAACCTCTTTTTTGAATTAAAAAAGCATTTTCTAGAGAAATAGTTTACTTTAGAGCATTGGAATGAGAAACTTGTCTAGGGAAACTAGTACACCGATAGTAGAGCAACTTTAACAGGCTTTAAATTAAAAAGCATATGTTTCATCATAAACAGGTTCGTTATCGACATGCGTTATAAGCCAGTCAGCAGAAAGTAATATAGTATCATTCGTAGGAACTCCAGACTCAAGACCAAGGTTGATTACCAGTCCTCAAGCAATTCTGTTACATGGATTTTCACTACTGAAACAGATTTTTTGTCCAAGAAAGTTTTTTTCTGTAAAATAACTCTGAGAAAAGTGTTATAAAGATGTTTTAAATCATCAGGTCTGTAAGTAAGAAGTAACGGTTAGACTTACACTTCTGTAGATAGAAACTGATATTTCGACACTACCCCTCACGTATCTTTTTTCATCAAGATCCTGATTCTAAAAGCTTTTTGGTGCTTTTCAGTTGAGTGCTAATATTATCTGATGTGACAGATGACTTTCATATTATCTCTGTGAGACACTCTACTGATTTTAGTAATTTATTCGACTTATGAATGAGAACATCTGCATAACAGTGAAACTAAGTTTCACTGGCTTACGCAGCTGACTTTCGACCATCTATTCACGAGTTCGAATCGGGCTCCACCTACCAAGGTTTAAGCAACTACTTAGTATCCCTAACCCCCACATAATAAGCGTAGCTTTTGCACAAGGTTTATGAACACTTGAATTATTTATTTGTTTGGCTTTACTAAAAGTGCAACACTCTTCCACATCAATGTGCTCAATAAACGACCAACGGACCATGTTTTGTACTAAATACAAAGTGTCCCATTCTATGCTAACAATCCACCAGAAAGTGCACAGAAAATTTGAAGGTTGGAGTTTGACTTCATAGCTAGTTCAGTGTTCTCTTCAGTAATATTAGCATACAAAAGAATCTATGCAGGAATTAATAGGAAATACTGAAATGAATACACACTGATAAATTTTCGATTTGTAATGTAGTAGGTTTTCCCACTCTTTAGTAATCTATACCCCTTCAACTATATTTTCTCTCTTCTCGGATAATTCTCACCAAATAAACCGGTGTACTCATGAAATTAACTCACTACTGTAAATCTTTTGTTCATAATCACCGACTTTACTTTGCCTTTCATGGTGATTTATCCCTTATCGGGAAACCGTAATTTTTTTTCTCAATCTAACTTTTAGGTTTCATCTTAATGTTACGTATTTTCCAGCTAATAATACATTCGATTGTTTTTACTCATAGATTCACTTACCAATCATTCAAACATCTGTATTCTACGGATATGCCATATCAATGGTCTTACTACTAATCGCCACAGGAATTATACTACGGTTTCGGTAAGCAGCTGTAGTAAATAGCTTTTTGTAAACCTTTGATCATTACGTGAGTTTAAGTTAACCGAATCGTGAGGACAGATACTCAGCGATGCCGTTGGATGGAGGTCGCACTACATTGTGAACTGACAGAAGTAGGAAATATCGACCAGTGGCTCAGTGGTAACGTGCTAGCCGCAGAACCCGAAAGGCCTTGGGGTTCGATCCCCAGCGGGGTCATGGGTACGCGTTGCTGAGAAATCCTATAATTGGACGAAACATTTATCTGGTCCTCACAGGTTTTCAGTAGTTGTCGAAATGATATCAGTCCTTGGTAAATATCAACCAGAGTTATTTTTGTGAGGAAGGAAATGTAACTCTTCGGTTTTTCCAGATTGTTATTTATCAATTTGTCGATTTATGTTCATGGAAGTTAGATAATTCCTCTAGATCATGATGATAGACACCTTTTTAAACATTTTTCTACTAAACAGTTTTTCATCCACACGACATTAACTAGTATACTATTTTGCGGCGACTGTGAAAGAATTATTGGAGGTGCACTAGCTGCTTCTGCAGAGAAGATAACACCGCAAATTATAACACCATTAGCACCTTATGATATCCTGGTTACAGAAAGTAGATTTTTCACATTCTGGATCTACTAACTTTTCAGTGTCCCATTTTGACTGATAGTTCTTTGGTTCTCACCATACCTAACAAACTGCTGTAACAATAAAGCAGTATAAATGCTGAACAAAGGACAAGATATACCTGGAATTTCATATGTGAAACTACCAGGAAACAGTCTGCTTGTCGCATTATTTATTCTGCTTCTATATAACTCGTCACTTCATTGATTTTTGAGCAAATGCTAAAAATTGTATTACTGCTGAAGTTTTAGTTGTTAAATGCTCATTTTTTTTAGTTTATTTAATTTGGTATACACTTTCGTTCTTGAAGTAACTTCAACAAATCGGTCAAACCAGTCAGTATTTAGCTTACAAAAAACTACGTGTTCATAAATTCATTTTTGAACCCATGATTGAAAACAAGTTCCAAACGTATTAACCACGTCACGAGTAAAAGGCATCTTTCAGAGACGCAATAACCTAGTTATTAATGAGATTTTCAAACCTAGCTTGATGAGCACACTACAAAATGATAGATATATTTCAGTCAGCAATCAGGACTGGGCAACATAAAATTAAGATTTTGAGATAATGGGAAATATTTGTAGCTCAGAATTGTAATTCTGACGGGGTTGAGTTCTCTGAGGTGGATTGTTTGATCGTAGAGCTTTCATTGTCGTTATAGACAGCATTATCAGCAAAAACTTCAGCAGGAAGTCAGCTTCAAGGCATCTCCACATGTGGCTTAGTTCCTTATCCTGATGACCTTGTGTATGGTTGGTTGCTTCTACCCCTTAGAAACGCCGTATCTCACAGGCCCACGAAATCTTTTCAGTCTTCTTTGTGCGGGCCATAACTTACAACAGCAAAAGAAGACAAACCAAACATTATCTACAAAATAAACTGTGGGAGCTCCAAAAAACACCACATCGGACAGAGTGTCAACCCTCTTTGCATTCGTCTACATGAACATCAACTAACAGTCAAACGTAATCAAATATCTTCGCTCATATCAATGCATACGGAAAACTGAGGACATGGATTTGGATATGATTATGTGAAAATGATAGACAGAGGGAATACAAAGAATACCGGGAAATTTTTAGATGCTTGGAATTCACGTCGGTCAACAATCGACAGATACATTGACATTGACCCAATCTGTCAAACAATAAGAAACAGAAAGGAAGTCAAATTTCAGGTCTGAAGAAAGAACAAGTATTTCAGCGATTTCATTTTCAAAGCTGTTAAATCACAAATTTATACATCCTCTAGTTTAAGGATTCGATAGTTAAAAACTGTTTGTTAAGCATAGCAGGCAACGCAAATAGTCTCAATAAATGAGGTGTCATTAAAATCAAAGGAAGCAAAAAATTGATGAGTAGTAAATATTAATCAAAATAGGTTTGAACAAGAAGTTTTGTAATAGGACTGAAAGAAAAAACGTCCGCATCTGACTACTTCTATGCTCATATATCAATTCACCTGCTGTTGTGGAGCCAGATGTATAGTTCGTTCGACGCGACTGTTATCTAAAAGGATTTAAGAACACTATCCCATGTGGTTACAAAAAGGTAACAATGGAGCGATAAGGAGTGCTACAATTGAAAAAATAGTGAACACAAATCACCTTATCTCAAAAACCGCCTCGTTTAAAGTCATGCATAAAGTGAAAAGAAACCTTCCAAAGACTGTATGTCTTCGTATTTTCTGTATCGCCGAAACTCTTGCCATTCAAATGGAGAAGCCTGAACTGTGTAAACAAAATAAGATTGTTCAAACCCTTCTCCTTTCATAGTTTTAATTTTTAGTCTCCTCTACTCTTTCCCCCTTTTTCTTTTCACCTTTCTGTTTCAACACTGTTCACTTCTTAAGAAAATTGCTACTCATTCTTGTTGCTATGTTCTACTTGATCACAATTCAATTTCCAAACTTCTTGTTCAAACCTATTTTGATTAATATTTACTACTCATCAATTTTTTGCTTCCTTTGATTTTAATGACACCTCATTTATTGAGACTATTTGCGTTGCTTGCTATGCTTAACAAACAGTTTTTAACTATCGAATCCTTAAACTAGAGGATGTATAAATTTGTGATTTAACAGCTTTGAAAATGAAATCGCTGAAAAGAAACTCTTCGCTGAAGTACTTGTTCTTTCTTCAAATCATTATGGGTATATTTCACCAATTTCAGGTCATCAAGAAAACCAGTCGAAGTATGTTTGAAAGCAGTGAGATGACCTTGATGAGAACAACCAACCACACATAAGACTATCAGGACAAGCTGCTGAATAAATTGCGAAGAAAACTTTATCGTTCACTTCATTCTCAGGTTTGTTCTGATAATGTTGTATAGAATGACAATGAAAGCTACACGATTCAGCTCATGGTACTCAATCCAATCACAACATGAAATCGCTCTAAAATGACCACTAAAAGTATCTAATTCTGTCCTACATGAGACTAGTTGGAACATGAATGGATCAATGGTAACTTCTTTGACTTCAGAATTGGAGAGTGCGTGGGTTAGAATTTCTGAAAGGGTATTATTTTCATTCAGTTTGGAGATTAGGCTTGTTGATAACAGATAACAAACAGAAGACCTACATCTAAGGCTTCCTGTTGATTTTCTCTAATCACATGAAAGCTTAATACATTGTAAGATTAGGAAAACTAATGAAATTAATTATCAGTAATGAATAATAATTTGGTTTTTTGTTAACTTACTAGTATTCGTATTCGTTGAGTAGTTTTGGAAATCAACTAACTAACTCTAGGGATTAAGTAAATGAACAGTAGTTGCATTTTTCGTCCAAATAAATGTTAGTATTCACTAAGAGTCCTGAAAAATAAATTAACGCTTGTTGATTTCAATGAATCAAGCTGTGGAGTTGCTATTACTGTAAAAAAAAGGCTCCATTTTTTCATCACTGACATTTAATTCTTACCAACTCTCTTATACAAGGCAAACGTCCCTGGATTCAGTGAAGTACTCTCATGTGGTTTGAAATCATACAAAACTGAACCAACTTTCATTCTGCCTAGCTTTCATTCGCTAAATGAACTGGATTTTAGGTTAAAAACGATCACAAACAGTGAGCAGTTTTCTTCTCTTCAACTGTCATGAAGGTGATAGATTGCAAATACCACAAAACACATCTTTTAATCAAATGTCAATCATTAAAGAATGTTTTCAAAGGCAACAAAGCCTCAGTTACTGAATACATTTAGAATCACGATAGCAAAAATGAATAGTTTGACTAAGCAAATTGCCATTAGGCTTTAAGATGAAATAAAAAATGAGGTTTGTAGCTGTGGATAATGAAGAAAGTGGTTGGATGTCTTCGGCGATATAAAGTTCTTTTACTGATATTTCGCTGCGGGTATGAGTTAACAGACTTTTAACTTTTTCATTTGTATCGATGTTATCAGTTTGTAGATGCCTTAAGTGATTGGGCACTTAAACATTTCACACAACCGTGTCTTATGTTATGTCTGAGGAAGGCATCCTGCATGAAAACTGATGAAATACCAGAAATTCGAGAGACAAGAAATGTAAACAGTCAAAGATAGTAAACAGTTTCTTACCGGTTGTTTTCAGGCTGAAGATATAGTTTTAGCAGAAATATACCAAATTATATAGCCTCTTCAACACACAAATTTAATAGAGCAGACATACTATTTCGGAAAGAAAGCGATACTTCTTGTTGATAAATTCTTTGATCAATACAAAGTCAGCATGGACAAGGAGTATTTTCATTTCCAATAGCTTCAGTTGACCAAGCAAATTTCACAGTTTAACCATTGTTTGAAAGCCAATATTACTAAACAGAAGACTGAAGAGGTTGACTGTATTCAGCAACTTATGTTCAGCTAGTCAGAAAATCTGAATCATTGCTGAAGATATCAACAAACACGGTGATTAAACGTCAGCAAAAAATATCAAAGCTCAGAGAGTACCAGACTACCATCATTCTCATCCTGAGCTACAAATATTTTCCACTGTTTCGAAATCTTTTGAGCGTTACGCGCTTTTCTGTGCTCGGTAATATGAGAACTTTGTCGTCCGGAGAGCTTCCACGCGGGAGCAGCTTTCCTTCTTACAAGAATTTTTACGGCGTATCATCTTACCAAAATGTATTAGATACGAACCATCCACCAGATGTCATACTGGACGAAAGATCGCACAAACCAGATAAACCAAGTACAGCAAGGTAATAACAACTCAATAAAAAATATTGGAATAAATCATCGGAACAGATATGATCAGGAAATTGACAGTGGCCATCATTATCATAATTAAGACAAAGGGCGAAACGAGGAGGCTAACGTTGAATGGTAAACTACTTAAGCTACCATAGCCAACAGAGAAGGAATTAGAAGGTGAATGG